GGGGGAGGGGGTCATGCTTGTGACCCAGGTTTCCTGACAGTCAGGCCCAACGAAGGGAGATTCCCAGCAGTTAAAACAAGTGATCCTCAGCTGGGCATGGTAGTTCACTCCAGTAATCCCCACACTTTGGGAGGCTGAGGTGGGCAGATTGCTTGAGCCCAGGAGTTCAAGACCAGCCTGGGCAACATGGTAAATCCCCATTTCTACAAAAATACAAAAATTAGCCGGGCATGGCAGCCTGCACCTATAGTCCCAGCTACTCGGGAGACTGAGGCGGATCACTTGAGCCCAGGAAGTCGAGGCTGCAGTTGAGTTGTGATTGCACTGCAGTGCAGCCCAGGTGACAGAGTGAGATGCTGCCTCAAAATAACAACAAACCGCACCCCCTTCCCCCCGCCCCCCCCAAAAAAAAACAAGTGCCCTTCCTCCAGCCCAGGCTGCAGGCGAAGCGAATTCATGATGGAAACATGCATAGCTACCAGGAAGCGCATGCATGGGTCGGGCGATGAGCAAAGCACCTTAGATGGATTATCTCATTACCGTTGCTTTACAAATGACACATTGAGGTTCAGAGGGCTGCAGTGGCTAAGTGGTTTGTCTCAGGCCACACAGCTGAGACGTGAAACCAGTACTCAAATTCAGAGGTCTTTGGATCCAAAGTTTGCATGCATGGAAGCTCTATTGCCTCCTCATTTTATAGAGGTGGAAACTGAGGCCCAAACAACAGCAGGGATGACTTTAATCCTACCAACTTCCCTTCATGATCTTCCAGTTTGCACAAGGCTACTAGGGGTGGGCTCTGGCTGGGAACAGAGGGAACGGCTTCCCAGGGGAGGTGGCTCTCAGGGCTTACCAGACTGGAGGAGCTCAGCTTTGGTCTCCAGCTCCTGAGCTTGGGCCTGGGATGGTTTATTGGCCAGGTAGTAGCGGGCAAACTTCTGCAGAAGGACAGGAAAGTGTTGGGCCTGCCTGGCTTGCCTGAGGTGTCTGGATCCCTGCCCACATCATTGGCCTGGAGGCTGGGGTCCCTCAGTGTCTTCTCTGGGGGTCAGGGCTGAGGCCAGGTCTCCTCCACCTCCCCTGGCCTCTCTCAGGGTCTCAGACTCAGGACTCTATCCAAGATGCTTTAAGGTGGGGCCTCAAGCCCAACAGCAGGCTCACCAGGTGAGGCAGGCTCAGGTAACACATGATGGACATGAGGATGCCCACACAGGGCGTGATAAAGTACCCCAGGGCGGAGGTCTGGGCGTCCACGCCACCTGCGGAGAAACTTCAGCTGCAGAAGAGGCACCTGGTCCTACCGGCTCCCACGGGGCTTCCAACTCTTGTCCCACTTCCCATTGTGCACTTCTCAAACCCACTCCCAGCCTCCCTTCACTGAAAATGGGAATCTTGTACAGGGCCCCAGAGCAGCCCTGCCCTTCTCCCACTTTCCCCTACATGTCATTTTTGTTGAGCACGTACTATGTGCCAGGAGCCTTCTCTTATTGCATGCTCATTATAATCTGAGCAGGGAGCTAGAACGATCACGTAGGTGGGGAAACTAGCACAGAGCGGTGACAAGCCTTGTCCAGTGCCCCTAGCTGGTAAGCGGTGAAGCAGATTCAAATCCAAGACTATCTGAATCCCAAACCCATCCCCTCATCCTTCAACTTCAACCTGCTGCCGCATGCCAGTACTGGCCCCAGGAATCCTGCCCCTGTCCCTGAGTTAACCCAGTCCTCGCTTGGTTATTACTCCTCACTGCAGGGCCCATGAGCCCCACTCCCTAGCCCCAGACCCAATCCCCATCTCCATATCACCCTCTTACCTCCATCTTCACCCAGAACCTAGGTGTCTTGCTCTCACATGCCCTCTCTGTTCCCCAAACCTCAGAGGCCGCCCCAGCCCTCCAGCCACCCAAGTGCACTCACTGGCCATGGACAGGAGCATGGCAAGGGCAGCAAAGATCCCAGCCAGGCCCTGGCCGCTGAGGAAGAGAGTGCTGTAGGTGGAGGGCATGGTGCCCAGCTGCCCGAAGAGGCTGCCCTGTAGGACTGCACTGAAGGCTGTGGAAGACAGGGATGGGGGCTGCTGCTCAACTAGGCAGGACTCAGGGGCTCCCTGGAGGAGGTGTCGGCAGGATGCACAGGGGACTCTGGACAAGGTTGCACAGGTGTGAGCTTCCCTAGGGACTCTGGGCACTCTGGGGCAACACCCGCCATTCAGTCCTTTTCTGAGGTGCAGCCATTGGTTTGTGGGGCTGTCGACCAGGAAGCCTGCTCCTAGGTCACCAGACAAGTGACTCTTCCCCTCCCTCTGGGCCTCAGTTTCTTCACCAGGGATATGAGTGACCATGATGCTGTCTTCCCTTCTCAGATATGCCGGGCCCTTTCAGTGATGCAGCCAGGCTGAAGCCCTGCATGGGCTGGCTGGGGAGGGGGTGAAGGTGCTCACAGTTGATGAAGCAGACGGAGGCCATGGTGATGGAGAAGAAGGGTCCTGGGCTCATGTCCACCTTGACCAACGCTGCCGTCAGGGCAAAGAGCAGCAGTATGGCCAGCAGGCTGCCCAGAATGCGCACCGTCTCCGGGATGCTGCTCAGAAGGGGGCAGAGAGGATCAGTGGGGCTCAGGCCAGAGGGGGCTTGGGAAGGGCTGGGCAGTAGGGCTGGGGGATGGGGGGCACGGGGGAAGGCCTCAATGAAGCTGCGTCGGCAGGGGGCACAGGAGCCAGGGCAGGCCTCTCACCACTGGTACAGGAAGGAGTTGAGAAGGGTGAAGAGCAGCAGGGGCAGCTGGGACAGCAGCGTCACCCAATTGTTGAAGTTGAAGGCATCCTCCGGGCCTGTGTGGTTGGTGCTCAGGATCCTGGTTGTGCTGTTGCTGGCCCCGACCAGTCGCACCTGGAAGTACTGCCAGGTGGGGAGGTGACGGAGGGTCAGCACCTCTCAGCCTTCCCCCACTGCCTTCCCCCTCACTTGTGATTGCTTTCTACTGTCTGCAGGGACTTGTCTGCCATGTCCTTGTTCTATCCCCAGCGCGTGGCACACAGTCGGGGCTCCATGAATGTGCACTGAGTTAAATGGCTGAAGTCTGAGACACAGCCCAAGCATTAAGAGCCCCCAGCATAAGCCTTGATCCAGCCTTGGACAGCCCCTTCTCTTCAGCGCCCTGGTTCCAGCCCCCATCCCCACTCGTGCAGCAGCTGCTAGATTCATTCATTCCAGGGGTATTTATTGAGCACCTACTGTCAGCCAGGCTTTGGCCTAGGTGCTGACCAACTGCATTCTCTCTGGAGCACATAGCCTGCCACTCCTCTGCTTAACCTCCTCACTCCTCAACACCCCGCTTCATTCCTACCTACTGCCTGCAGGGCAAAGCCCCAAATAGAATAGCTCTTCAGAATCAGATCCCAGTCTCCCTTTGTGCCCCATCTTCTGCTCCATCCAGCTAAGCTCCAGGCAGCCCTGGCTCTGGATCTCTCTCTAAACAGGCTAATCCTTTCTTGCCTGTTTGCCTTGGGCGTGGCTGTCACCTCCACCTGGAATGCCCTACTGACCACACCCCTCCATATGCACTCTGCCTACGCTACTCCCAATTTACAAATCTCTTCCACGAAGCAGAAGAAACTTTCTCCCTCCCCTGGGGACCTACTGCACTCTGATGTAAGCCTGGAATGTCGCGCATCATGTTACATTATTAATAGCTCTTTGGCCCCTCTTGCTCTCAAGACCAGGGGCTGATTCATCTCTGGGTTTCCAGGGCCCAGCACAGAGCCAGTACCCAAGAGGCATTTGCAAAGTTGTTGCAGTGAATACAGATGAATAACCCGGTCCCAAAGACAATGCAAACCCCATATTTCTGCCTTCCCTGAAGACACTCCCTGCTGTTTCCTCCTGTGTCCCCAGTGCCTTCTCCACAGTAGGTGCACATTAAACGTTTGTTGAATGAATGAATGCATGAATGAGTGAAATTCATGGTATTTCAAAGAAAATCAAACGTTCGATAACCGACTTTTGGGGTGACTGACTCAGGAATAACGACACATAGAGGAGGTGGGTGGGCAGCGCCTTTGCTCATTCCAGACCCTGTGGGCTGGTGGCCTTGGCCCTCTGAGATGTGGACATTCCTGAAGTTCTGCTTTCCTAGTCATGCGGGAAGCATTGCCCTCTCTGTGGCTCCGAGCTTCAGCCCATAAATGAGCTCAACGAGGGGTCACAGGTGCGCGGTAAGGAAGCGCCCGGTAAACATCCCAAAGGGCTGGAGGAAGGGGTGCTGGCTGTGGCCACGAGGCTGCCACGCCGCCAGGAGTCTCACCGGGATGGCGGTGATGAAGAAGTTCCAGGGAAGGAGGGTGCCCAGCCCCAGGATGAAGAAGCTGATCCCGACCAGGTGGTAGCTGTGGGGATCGGTGGGAAGGTCACCCCGAGGACGCACCCGCCTCCGCGGGCCCTCCCGCCTCCCAGGCCGCCCCCTCCGGAGCGGACTACAACCCCCATCACCCCAGCTCTGGCGGCAGAGGGAGTCGGCTGATGGGAATTGTAGTTCGATCCGGTCTTCTCTGCGCCTCGGAGCGCCTCCAGGGAGCGGGTCTGCAACGCCCCCGGTCACTTGGGTCCCGGTCCGCACCCACCCGGGCCCACTCACCTGTCCCGCGGGGCGT